GACCCACAAGACTGCTCAATCATTCAGATGCCAGTTGCAAGTACAGTCAGCCCTCCATACCCATAGCTTCCACATGTGTAGATTCATCCAACCTTGGATCAAAAGTATTTTTTAAAAAACAACAATAACAGGAGCCTCCTGAAAGGCTATGGCCTTTGCACTACTCTAAAGGGAAAAAAAAGAAAAGAAAAAAATTGAGTCAATGTCTCCCTCTTTCATCCAGACTAGAGTGTGGTGGCCCGATCACGGCTCACCACAGCCACGACCTCCTACGCTGAGGTGATCCTCCTGCCTGGGGCTATCGGCACACATTACCATACCTGAATTATTTTTTAAATTAAAAATTTTTTTTTGTAGAGACAGGGTCTCACTATGTTGCCTAGGTTGGTCTCAAACTCTTGGACTCAAGCAATCATCCCAAAGTGCTGGGATTACAGGCATTAGTCACTGTGCACAGCCTAAAGTTAAAAAATCTTAAATCAAACCATCAAAAAGGGGGGACCATCTGTAATTTGCTAGACTGGTTCACAGAACTCAGGGAAAACACATAGGTTTACTGGTTTATTACAAAGGGCATCATCAGGTTACCAGATGGGAGAGATGAGTAGGACAAGGTACGGGAGAATGGGTGCGGAACTTCCACACCCTTTCTGGGTTCAGCACCTTCCGGAAAGCTCCATGTGTTCAGCTCATCTGAACCTAATCTTTCTGGACTTTTCATGCAGCTTCATTATGTAGGCATGATTGGTTATATCAGTGGCCACTGGGGAATAAGTTCAGATTTGGGGGGAATGAAAATTTCAACCCTCTAATCACTCAGCTGGTTCCCCTGGCAACCAGCCCCCTCCAGAGGCTGTCCTGGAGTCCCCAGCCAAAGGTCAACTCATTAGTATACAAAAAGATGCTTATCATTTGGGAGACACCAAGGATTTTACGGGTTGTATGATGTGAAGACCAAATATATATTTCACAATACAATAAGTCCCCTATATAGGAATGAGTTCCATTTGGAAAGCTCGTTTGTAAGTCCAATTTGTTCATAAGTCCAACAAAGTTAACTTAGTTATCCAACTAACAGAGTTGGCTATATAGTACTGTACTGTAAAAGACTTATAAGACTTTTCACACAAATAATACATAAAAAACAAGCACAAAGAATAAAAAAATACAAACATTTTTAGTATTATAGTACAGCACATGACAATGTATGCCAGAATATGTGAACCAACCTGATTGGACAAGCAAACATATGTTTGCATCTTTGAAAGTTCATAACTTGAAGGTTCTTATGTAGGGGACTTACTGTATCACAAAATTAAAACAGTTTTATGTTGAAATAATATGTGAAATATATTTGCATGAATTTTAAGATAATATATAATACTTTAAAGAAGTTGCTTGCTGGGTGGAAGTTAGTGTTGATCATGTCCCTAGAGAAACATGGCAATAAGTGTGTTCTTCTGTGTCCTGGGGGTATCTTGGTGGAAAACCTTGAGAAGCAGTGATATGAAGAAAACATAGGCTTTAGTCTCAGACTCAGCTGAGTATGAATCCCCTCTCTTCCACAATTCCTGAGGGTCTGACCTTGACCAAGTCAAGCCTGACCCTTGACCTCAAGTCCTGTGTCCTCATCAAACAGGAATGTTATTTATTTATTTACAGACAGGGTCTCATTCTGTCTCCCAGGCTGGAGTGCAGTAGCATGATCATGGCTCATTGCAGCCTTGAAACCACCTACAGAAAATTAATATAGGGTCACAGGATAAAAGCTGTGGAAGAGACTCAAGCCCTGCATAGTTGCAGCTGTGTTTGGAAATTAACAAATCTGTTGTTTCCAAGTTTGCTCCTGGCATGACTGTTTGCACAATCACTTCAATAGAGAGCAATCGATTATCTTCATGTCCTCATCCCTGGAAATGGGGAAGCTGCCTTCAAGGTTGATAAACACATTTTCCCTTAAACAGTGAACCTGAGGTTACATAGATCACCTTGATGGCAGCAGAACTTGGAGCGCCAAAAGGCAGCTTTAATCTCCAGAGACCCCCACCTCCCAGGTATCTTCCTGCTAAATAACCTCTATAATGGCTCAGTGCCCAGGGGTCAGTGGTCGATGATCATAGAACTTGGTATATTTATAGATAGCACTTATTATAAAACCTAAGAGTGATGTTTGAGAAGTTTTTCAGACTTTGTACTCTGATGGGCCGTGAACCCACCTCGACCTGGGACACATACCAAGGAGCTGACTGTACTGGTCTTGTGACCTCCCTTCCAGAAACTGGTTCTGAACACAAAGTGAGTTTCAACACCCCCCGTGACTTTATCCCCAACCAATCAGCAGTTCCCATTCCCTAGAACCTGCGCACCAAATTACTTCTTTAAAAAATTTAGCCTAAGACTCTCGGGGGGGCAGATTTGAGAAATATCTCCTGTCTTTCTCACTCAGCTGCTTTGTGATCATTAAACTCTTTATTGTGACACTGCTGTCTCAGTATGTTGGTCCTTTTCTGTGCAGCAGGCCTAGGAACCCCATCAGGCTGAAAGAGACTCAGACTCCTTGACTCAAGTGATCCTCCTGCCCCGGCCTTCCATATAGCAAAACTACAGGAGCCCGCCACCATGCCTAGCTAATTTTTTAATGTTTTGTAGAGATGCGGTCTTGCTATGCTGCCCAGGCTGGTCTCAAACTCTTGGCCTCAAGTGATCCTCCTTCCCTGGTCTCCCAAAGTACTGGAATTACAGCCATGAGCCACATGCCTGGCCAGGGATGTTGTTTACTATGAAGATTTATAAAACATGTAGCATAGTCATTGATGGAGCCACGATGAGCTTTTGAAAACATGTCAGATCAAATCATGCTCCTGCTTGAAATCTTCTAACAGTTTACTTATGCTCTTTTGAATAAGTCCTACTAGCTCTACTGTGGGTTCTAATCCTTCTGGTACACAGACCCCCTTTGGCAGTCTGGTGAAGCTGATGGGAGCCTTCTCCGAATAATGTTTTAAAATTCATGAAATAACATACATGTCATCACAAAAGAAACCACTCACGTTGACATACAGTTAGAATACTAATAAGACAAAAAAATTCATGCTCCAGTAATTTATGAGCATTTCTATGAACACAGCAAATATACAGTATAGAGGCAGGTCCTAAAACAACAGTGAATTTGAAGCAAGGAAGAAAAAGGAACAGCTTAGGATATCTGCAACAACGTAATTGGCTATGAAAATATTTGTGATTTCTAGTTGCCAAAGTCACAGATATGGCTGCTACTGCTGTGGGTTCTCCTCTTCCTTTGCCTACATTCATGATGGAGGGAAATGCTAGATTTTATTTAGAAGTTAGTGAAGATACAAATGTATTTTTAGATGACAAGATAAAAATATATTTGTTCCCCTGCAAGTTCCCTGACTCCCAGATTCCATCCATGGATCCCTTGGAGGTCCATGGACCCGGATGAAGACTTGGCATTCTAAGCGAGATTCTTTTTTGTGTGTGTGCTAATTTTAAAAATATTTTGTAGGGACAGGGTCTTGTTATTTTTGCCCAGGCTGATCTCAAACTCCTGGGCTCAAGCAATCCTCCCATCTCAGCCTCCCAAATTGTTTGGATGTCAAGCATGAGCCACCGTACCTGGCTTAAGTGGGATTCTTTAACTGCATCTCCTATCATCTTTGTCTCCTCTGCTAATCACACTGGCCACACTGACCACTTCCTCTTCAAACACATTTAACTTAGTCCACCATAGGCATCTGCTTCTGCTTTTTTCTCTGTCTGGAATTTTCTGCCCTTTTTTGTTGGTCTTCATCTCAACTAAATATCACCTACAGAGGGCTTCCCTGATCACCCCATGTAAAGCAGTCTCCTCCCCTTGCTTCCTGCTTCATCACACCATCCTGCTGTGTTTCCCCCTGTCCTGGTCACAGTACTGATCTCCAGTTTATTCTCTGCTTCCTGCCCTAAAATGTGAGCTCCACTGGAGTAGGACCCTCATCCACATGTTCAGTGTCACATCCCAGCACCTAGAACAGTGATTGTGTCTAGTACATTTTTGCTAAGTGAAAGAAAAAATAGACTCCACAAATGCTATTTCTCTCATCCTTCATTCTATTTCTGGTATAGTGGGGATGCAAAGAGATGAGAGATAAACTCCTGTCCTCAAGTGATTTACAGCCCAGTGGAGGCTGTGGGGTGCCCCTACAGAAGTGGCACCAGCACTGTGCTGGCTTGGGGTCCCGTCTAAACCCTTCCATTCACCTGCACAAGTGCAGGCAAACCACCCAAAGGGCCTTGGTTCCTGTAGTGCCAGATGAACGGGCTGGACAAATAGATCCCCAGAGGATATGGTTTATAACCATGAAGAGCTAACAAGGTCGCATATGTGTCAACAGAAGGTCTCTGACCCCGAGTGGAGGAAGCTTCACAGACTTGGAGAGAGTCTTCCAGCGTAATCAGACTCCAACAAATGTTGAAGAGAGAGTCATGAACTCCCAGGGTGGAAAGAAACTTCAAAGGCTAACAGGCATGGCCACCACGCTGTAGCTGAATATCTCTCTATGAGGCCCTTTTTCAAGAGGTAATACAACACCCTTGCTCTCTGTTGCAACCTGCAAGGTAGTTAGCAGTGTAAACCGTGATATGGCACATTGCCTGAGTTCAAATCCCAGCTCTCTCACTTACCAGCTACATGAACTTGGCCAAATTACTTAACTTCTCTGTTTCTCAATTTCTACCTCTGTAAAACAGAAGTAACAACAGTATCTACCTCATGGAGTTATGGACAAGAGTGAGTAAAAACAATAAATGTAATATGTTGTACATACTTTCAGTAAATGCTACTATTTATGATTCTTTCTGCTAAATAGTTTACTACTATGGCAAATTAAGGATCCTCCAAAACATTTTTCCCCTTCTGCCATGTAATTGAATCTTTACCAGTCAGGGATGACATTCCCCAGTTTAGAGTTTCTGCAAGACAACAGGCAACTCTATCTTACCTTTTCCTTGACATTCACATGACTATTGAGTTCAGCCATCTTGCTTCTAGTGGAATAAGCCCTATAAAAAGGGGAAAAAAAGATTCAAGTTTTAAAATTGATTTCTCACTGTTATCTTCATACTCTCTTCCAACATAGTAAACAATTTCATTCAGTCATAATCATAAATACCATTTTAGAATGTGAATATACTTTCAAGCTAAGCATTTGACTCAGATATGTACTAAAAGCAGTTACAATAATTCTGGAAGACAATGTAAAATCTTTTATTCATACTGTATTGACATGAAAAATGACAAAAACAGATGGAAATGTAACCAAATTGTGTTTCTTCTTATTATGGGGGGAAAAAAGGTGGTCAAAAACAGCAAGAGGAAGGAAATTGTACCTATTTTAACTAAGCACTGTCATTACAATCTTCACTGTCCCAAAGCTTTTATCAGCCCCTGGGTAATCTAGCAAACATTTACTATCTCTTACATGTATGCAACTATACCAAACATTGTAGAAAGAAACATGAGAAATGGGTCTAGGTTTAAACATAATCCTTTTTTTTTTTTTTGAGTTGGAGTCTCACTCTGTCACCCAGACTGGAGTGCAGTGGCCGCTCCCGGCCACCGCAGCCTCGCCTGCTGGACTCTGGCGATCCTTCCGCCTCAGCCTTCCGAGTAGCTGGAACTACAGGCATGCGATACCACACCCGGTTGATTTTTTGATTTATTGTAGAAATGAGGTCTCGCTGCCCAGGCGGGTTTCGAAGCCGCAGGTTCAGGCAATCCACTCACCTCAGCCTCCCAAAGGCATGGGATTACAGGCTGAGCCACGGAGCCCGGCCACTTTTTTTTTCTTTTCCTGCTACCTGGAATGCTCTGACTTCAGATCTTTTTTTTTTTTAAGTGCACAATGAGGGTTTAATCAAAATACCTACATTAAAGTTAATGTAAGAAATTTAAAAAAATTTTTTTAGAGTCAAAGTGTATATACCTATGTAGCAAACATAGGTATATTACATCCTTGTGAGGTTTGAACTTCTATTGAGCCCATCACCCAGGTGGTGAAATATGGTATTCAGAGCCCATCACCCAGGTGGTGAAATATGGTATTCAGTGGATTGACTTCAGTTCTTAGCAAAGTTGTTTCTTTCCTGTAGCTTTTTTTTTTTAATCAATATTTTTTATTATGATATTGTGGGGTACAGTTAAGGGTTAGGTATACAAATATGCTTCGTTCAGGCACCCTTGTTGATAAGAGG